GCCTTTTTAAAATTGATTAAAAGGTGGTCAAAGTTTATTTTAGTGGTCAACTAATGACATTTAGACGAAAATCATCCAAAAGGGCTTCAAATACAACGTTTGGACAGTTTTGGAGTGACGGTTGCAATAAATGAAAGATTAAGAAAAAGTATGTTAGTGTTTAAAAGGTTTGGAACTTCTACTGCAATTATCCCAAATATAAATTGAGAGGTCCCCCGAGTAATCTATTTCATATACTACTTCCGCCATTGCTCTCAATTCTGAGCTCGGCATGTACTGATTATCGATTTAAGGATTATCAAATAATCCATTCTACTCCAAAAATCATTCACCCTAGCCAGCAATCTGTATGCATAATAGTGTTTTCAGCTTTAAGTACCTGTTTGGCCTAAAGAAGAATTATCTTTTTGATATGCTGAAATAGTTTTAAAATTTAATCTATTTTTTACTGAAAAAATTAAGCCCATGTTTGGTACCAATTAAAATCTAAATTTTAATTTAAATCAAAGTCAATAATTAATTTCAATAACATATTTTATGGGTCTTACAATTTCTCAATCACATATTTCATCAACTTCATTAAAATTTGCTAAAAATTTGATTTTAATCCTCACCAAATAGGAACTGTTACATTGATTAAAAAAAGAAAAATCGAAAATATAAATTTATTTAAAACATTTGAAATTGTTTTTAAGCTTCACCAAACATGCTCTAAAACAAGTTTGGCTTTAAAAAATTTAAAACATCAAAGTACTAGCACTTGCAAATTTGCAAATAACATGTTTCTATCAAGTATTTAATGTGATTTGGATAATATTTTTCTATGTCTCTCCATAAATAGGGATACTTTCTAGCCTTGCCTTGTCTCCAACCCTGCCTCACTCTTATATTTTTAAATAATAAATGACTAAATAAATAAAAGTAGAATATTTTAACCCCCAAAAACCTCGAATCATGCTATTCAAATCAATCTTTTCAAAACCGACCTGGCCCAATCGGTTCAACCGGTAAAATTCGGAATCGGACCCAAAATCGAGCCTATTATGTCTAGTTAACCAATTATGCTTAAAGCGCTTAAAAACTCATTGAACCGGGCCTATTATTCCACGGTTTTACGGTTTTCCCAATTTTTTTATAGGAAAAATTCCTAACTAAGAAGTTAAGTATTTACCATTTCAAAATTAAGAATAAATGTTTCAAATTTCAAAAATAAGATATTTATTATATTTAATTTGTGATTTAATTAATTAATTATATATTTTATCAATTAAATATATTAATGTCACAAATTTATGTAATTTGGTCACAAATTGACGTTTTAGTTAATCACATATTATTTTTCGGTCAAAATTTTTATATGTTACAAATTATTTTATGGTCACAATTACATATTTACAAGTCACAACTTATTCGTAACATATTTTACAGGTCATATATTTCATCAATCACATATATTATTAGTCACAAATTACTTATTTGTTACATATTTTATCGGTCACATATTATTTATCGATCACAAATTATTTATTTTATCGATCACATATTACTTATTGATCACAAACTAGTTAATTTATTGTTCACAATTGTCACAAACCACTTCACCATTGCACCCTACCTTACCTTAACCCCACGCTAGAACACCACACCACAAATCACCTCCACACCCATCATCCCCTGAGCCACCTCCACTTCCACCGCCACTTCACCGTCACATCAGCAATGCCTTGCCATAGCCACAAATCGATCTGAAAATGTCACCACCACCACCACGCAACACCATTGCCATTCACCATTAACCACGCAGTACCATGAAATAAGCACTTCCAAACCACCATAAAAGTCACCCCAAAACCACCGCCTATTGTCTATCTACCGTCGGCTAGATCGAGTCACTGCCACATCGTCGATCACCATAAATTCACCATCATCTCTCCAAATCAACAAACATCAATAACCTCTACCAAAATTAAACCAAACAACAACACACTGTCCAGTTCACTCTACTGCCATCTTTTCCGATCTCTTACCTCTCATTGCCATTTGCCATCTCCGTCCACATCAACCCATAGAAACTACCGTCATCGACACCTCCTCAACAACAACCACAACCACAACCACCTCACATGCCACCACATCGATCTTCAAAACTAAATCTCCCCATTAACAAAATATGTAAATTTTTAGAAAAAACATTCTTTTCAGCCAATGTCATTGGGTGGAGATCACGGTTGTACCGCACAGCTCGTAGTGGCGGTGACAGTTCGCTATGGGCGACAACATCGCTAGGTGGATGTTGCCGATGAGTCAAGCAATGCCGCTCCTGATAATGCTTGGAATGGAAGAGGTACAACATGCTGTTGGGTGGAGATCGTAGTTGTACCACACTCGCAACGATGTTGACGATCCACCTTGCATTGATAGTGCATTGCCATATCGGGAAGGGTATGAAGGAGAAGAGAGACAGGAGATTGGAGATGAAAATTAAGTTTAAAATGGGTGGGAAGAGGGGGTGGTTTATAAATGTAGTTAATTTTACAATATTGTTAATATTAAAAATAATAATATTAAAAAGAATAGAATTATTAAATAACTAATTATAATATGAATTTTGAAATATGAAACTTTAGGTATGATTTAATGAAAAGTAGATTTTAAAAATAGGTCTACATGTAATTTTCACCTTTTTTTTTTTTTTTAGTTTAAAATTTTAACTTCGTAATGGGCTTCATAAACTACAATTCAAAGGCGCATAAAAAAATACTGGATGACATGCTCCTTTTATAGATGCACATCTGTCCTATGATTTCACAAACTTTCAATATTGGATAGTACATTTTATCTATACATTTCTCTCCAAAGATTTTATAAACTTTCAACGTGGAATAGTGACTTAACAAAAAATATTAAAATGACCATCAAAATTAATTTTCAAATGTATGTCTATGTATGACGAAATTTCGTATGTTAAAATACAGAAATCGTTACAAATTGTATTTTAATAAATACAAGTGATGTTGACCTTTTTGTAATTGCAAGATTGCAAAAATCCTCTGATTAATGATCTGAATATTTGAAGACCTGGGCCACGTGGTTTGAATCCTGGTCTTCGAGAATTTGATTTATCGAGACTTAACTTGTTCGAAACTTAAATCTTGAGGCTTGGACTTGGACTTGGACTTGAATTTGATTTGATTTGAAGAAGATTTTGATCTTCTTAGATTTGACATGAACTTGTTTTTATTCGAAGAAGATTTTGATCTTTTTAGGGTTCACCGAGTTTAGATTTGAGAGAATTTCTTCCCTTCCTCCGGCCTTGAATTTTTTCAGCACTTCGTGGTTGCCTTTTTGCTTTCGCTTCTTCTTGCAAGCTTCTTCTCCTCTCCTTTCTTTGTCTTATGAACCATTGGTCCTATTTATAAGGGAGAATTTATGCTAATTTTGATAATTACCCAATTATATTTAATTAAATGAGATAATTGAGTAATTATGATTTTTCTTATTTGTTTGTTTATTTATTTAAATTTTGGTATGGGCCCTTGGGTTTATGGCCTTTAGTAGACTTTAAAATTTTAATTGGACTAATGATTTAAATCGACCAAACGCATTTTATTTTATTTATTTATTATTCATTTTTTTTTATGTCTACAGTCTAATTGACTAATTTGATTTTGAATCCCAACTTATTAAATTATAATATCCACCTTCATCTTTTCATTGATTTAATTTTCAAATTTAACTTAAATTGCACTTGATTATTAATATAGTAATACTATATATCATTTTCTATAAGTTTAAACTATTTTAATTTAACAAAGCAAACTAATTTAACATATTGATTTTTAATTTTTGAAGTATCAAGACTAATTGTAGGATAATGAATGTAGTTAACAAATTATTAATATGAAATTTTTTAAAAAAAATATCGTTTTCATTGTATTTTATTATTTTTGTATGTATTTATTACATTTGGCTCGACCTCGGTTGAAGCTTTTGACTCTTCACATTTTCAGGTTCGTGATTGAGTCGATTTTCAAAACAATGATTCAAATAGAGCAATTTGACAGAAATTAGTGACAGACAACATTTGACATTTATTTATTGGAAGATGGATTTTTTTAAAAAAAATAGACGAATCACAATTCAACACATGAGCTCCGTCACCAATTCGTGTCAAATTACCTTGTTTGAATAGCTTAATTCAAAAACCTCCACCATGATATGCGGGTCAGACAGAGATGACCGGTCCCATTTCCATCTCCCGCATAAATTTGCAAGATATATTGCAAATATTTAGCTTTTGTTTTTCATTATTTCAAAAATTTATTTTTTAAAAAATAATTTTCAGTTACACATTCTTTAATAAAATAATATTACATTTAAATTCAAATTTTTTTTTTTAATTTTTAATCACATATTAAAATGGGATTCAAACAAAGGTTCTTTTCTTTTCTTCCTTTTTTTTTTAAAAGTTTTTTTTTTTTTTTTCTTTTTTTTTTTTTTTTTTCCTTTGAACTTTTCCAACTCCCTAACAATATTACAGCAGTGGCAACGCAGAGACTCTTCTTGTTTATTCCGCTGCTACTAAAATCCACCTCACTCCATGAAATTTTGCCCCCTCTCTATGGTACGTCGAAACCCTTCATTTCCTCTAATATTTCAATTTTACATCGTGTATAAATGTATAGATTTATATACATGCAGAAAATTCCGTTCTCCAAGAAATTGTGTGCGTGCAGTAATTGCGAATTTAGTTTTTTGAGCGATTTCTTCGAATCGAGAATTTATTTTTGTTTCGATAATCGTTTTTACTTCAAGTTAAAATTCCTTATCAGCTTACAGCACTCTGTTTCCATGTACAGTATGTAGTTATATATATGTGTACATATATCTGATACAAGACTCTGCACAATCACGCACGCACTAGTTGTATTATAGATGAAGGTTTTAACACTTAATTGGGCTTGTGCTTGACGATTGCAATTAAACTATGGACGGATCCTTTTCTTGATATTCACATATTCAGTGATACGAAGCTTCATCATGTTTTTAGTACTATGGGTTTACCTTTTACTCGTATTAGTTTTGATATCAATGAATATGATTTATGTTCAGGAAAACTTGGGAATTTTATCTTTTGGGTTTACAAGATCACTTTACTACTCTCTATTTCTTGATAAAAGGATGGCTAAACTTTGTAAAATTGCGTGTCTGATTACAATTGTCTTCTCGGCAATTCTGGCATTCCGGGCTTCGGCCTTCACGGACAATTCCTATTGTACACATGTAATCCAATTCTTTATTTGTTTATTTTCTGTGTCGTTCTTGAATGCTGTGGATAATGACTTTTGTGCATTCATTGAACTTCCTTTTTGTTATTTTCAATTTATTGTATGTATCGATTTTTGGTTGATGGGTGGCTGTTATCGACAACCAGAATTTTTGAGTAAGAAATATAGAACATAAAATTTGCAAGATGTGATTATTCTTAACAAGAAAAGGTGCCCGATGACTGCAAATTAAACAAAGTAATTTAAGGTGGCCTCAGCATAGTTTTCGAGTATAATAGATATTGCTGGATTTGCTGGATGTTTATTGTCATTACTGCACAGTGTTCTGATTGATTGTTTAATTCAGTTTCAAGTAGAAATAAGCATCTAACTTACATTATGCAGTCCAAACTCTTAGAGATCTGTTCAGGTCCCTGAACAGCCCACCGCAGCTTAAGGAATGGAAATTGGAAGGTGGAGATCCTTGCGAAGAATCATTGACTGGAGTTTCGTGCTTTGGATCATCAGTAATCCACCTGTAATTTCCCATAACTGTGGATTATCAGATATGCAGGTAACTCAATTTTACCTGATTGTGCTAATATTAAATGAACTTTTATCCAGTAAACTCCATAGCCTAGAGCTCACTGGAACTCTTGGATTTGACCTCTCCAATCTACAAAGTTTGAAGCAGATTAAGTAAATTCTCATTAATTACATTGCTTACTTCAGTATATAGTGCCCTACCTTGTCTGCTTCCCACTTCTATGCATTTATTTCTACTAGGGACCTTAGCTCAAATCACATTCATGGAGATATCCCCTACTTTGTACTTCCTATATCACACAGCTGTAAGACAGCCCTGTTTGCTGATTCTATTTTACAAACTAACCTCAATTATTCATGCTATTATAAAAACAGTTATATGCCGTTTTATCTTTGATAAATACAGGAACTTGTCTAGGAATAACTTTAGCCAAAGCATTCTCCTTAGTTTACAGGAAACATCTCCGGCATCTGTAAGAAGCTTTTTTCGTACTGCTAAGTTCAGTTTTCTTCTACAATTGCTAGTTTTCTTTAGTTGTTATTAAGTTGTGTATGTTACCAAGCAAAATTGTATACCTGCAGGAATCTGAGCCACAACACTTTATCTGGACCCTTCGGGGATGTGTTCAATGGCCTGGAGAATCTAATAGAAATGTAAGATATTTTCCAGTCTCCTTACACTGAGCATGAAGTGTGGACTACTTGAAAACTTCTTGAAGTGCAATTGATGTTAACTAGAGCTCATCAGATATGCATATCTCTTGGCCTTTAATGATGATTATCTCCCCTTGTGAAATTCAAAACCAGACCCATTAGGAGGGACGTTTGTTTTCTTTCCATGTTGACATTGATTGGATTTTTATCAAGTCTGAAAATTATGATCTAATCCCTTGAATTTGACTACCATTTATCAAATTCATAAGTTAAGACAACTTCCACTACAGACCAGATGAAAAATGGATTTGTTCTGTTACAACTAAATTACTGGCACCATTTAAAGACATGGAAAACCAAGCTCAGCAAAGGAAATTTATACTAGATACAAGAACTTCTAATTTGTTGCCTACATTGCTTCAGTTCATCAGCACAATCACATTCAGATCTGAGCTATTGGTTTATTACTGCGAATTCTGAAATTTATGTTCTTCTTTTCCAGGGATTTATCGTTCAATAAATTCACTGGAGATCTACTTACCTCATTCAGAACTTTGACAGACCATACAAGATTTTGAGTTTTTGTTTCTGATTAATTATGACATGGGTTGTCAGTTCCCAACTACAAGATTTTATTGCAGGTTCTTGCAGGGAAATGAATTTACTGGATCAGTAACATTATTGGCCGATCACCCACTATCTGACTTGTATGTTTTCTCTTGAAAGTTATGAACTCAGTCCAAACCTTCTGTTTTTGTTTCTGTTGTCAGTACTCCCTGTATCCACTTCCAGGAATATTGAAGATAACCATTTCAGTGGTCTTATTCCAGAAAGTTTCATGCTATACAAAAACTTGTGGTGAGCTACAAGTCATCCATGGAACTTATTTTTTCTGTTCTTTAGCAAATAAAATCTATTTTTTTCTCTGACTCTTTGTCTCTTCATCTCTTTTCAGGATTGGGGGAAATACATTCAACAACAATGGACCAAAATATCCCCCCCGGAATTTTCCTTTTGAAACTTGCCAAACGAGCAGAATATTACTAGTCCACCATCTACAAATTTAAGTGCCATTGAGAGCTATCCTTCTCACAATGTAGGACGGCAGAAGAAGAAAGGGCTGGGTGAGCAGGAGTGTTCTGATAATTGGAGGCGGCACTCTGATTGCTGCATGTGCAGCTCTCTTCCTCTTGATTCGCATTCATCGATCTCATAGGGAAATCCTCAAAAGCTTAGGTAGCAGTGGAGGTTCAACGAAATCCCCACCAATCAGCTTAGTCAGAGGTGCTGTGCATCGCTAAAAATGCATGACAAGAATATTACTTTCAGTCTGTTTTTCCAAGAAATAACTCGCATGAGTTATTTACTGCAACTTTGAACCTACATATGCAGTATTGATCATTTTGATTATCTTTTTTTACTTCCTTTTGATTTGATTTACCTCAGAATAGATTACTCGTCCATGACTGCAGAGGATGGCACACATGTATCATCTTTCAGTTCTCCTCCGATGATTACACCCTCTCTTTTGCCTTCTATATGTTCCAAAATGATGAAAGTATCGAAAAGAAAAAGCTTCTCTAAGAACAAAATATCAATGGGTGCAAAAATGTACTCCTAAGAGCTTCAAACTGCAACAAACAGCTTCAGTGACGGAAACCTTCTTGGAGAGGGATCCCTTGTGATGCAGGAGGATCCGAGTCGAGGGATGCTGATTTGTCAGATAGCACGATGATGGCACTGAGATACCATGAGATGGCGGATCGGCGCAAAGATGGAAAGTAAATCTTGTCACTTTGTCATTGTCGCAATATCTCTCTAGTTTTGGCACTTTGCCCAATAAGATGGTAAACTTTCATTGAGGCCATCTGTAAGTCCTCGTACCTCAGATCATCAACAAAGCATTCTTTTCTACTGTCTACAATCAATTCGCATCTTGGAGGCAATTCATAATCATTCCTTCGTATTCTAATTCCTCGCTTCAGTAGCTTCTAGCCTATGACATTACCATACTTGTTAAAGTCCATGCCTTGTACAAATATTTATGCCTGCACTTGCAGGACCAATGTCACGCCTCATCCTACGAAGAAAGCTACATGACTGCCAGTTAAGCAAAGATGAAGTAAGAGGTCACATAAGGTCCACACTCAGCTCCACCTCGCCCCTCACGTCTGTACGAGGTGGTTGGGTGCCTCTTATAAAGTGATATTACTTCATTAGAAGTGGTCTTTCTGAGGTGAGATGACACTCCTACTACCATATAATTTCAAGGTGGTTGGCAATGGGTAGGGTGGTTGGGTAGCTCTTTCGAATTTAAAGCACTTCATTCGAAGTTTGAATAATTTCTTCAACGCGGATTATATGTGTAAAAGTTAGGATTGTTCTATTGCCTCTGGAAATTCTATGCATAACCTACCTCCTTAAGCTGAATTATTTAAGTAGGAGCTAATGGAAAGCTTGGAGTAGTGTGATTTTCCCTGCAACCTTCACATGCCACTGTAGGTTAGTGCACCATGTGCATTGTCTGAGTGAGGCTGTCCAGCTTTTTTGTCAATATCTCCATTTGGGCTGTTAGAGCTGTTATTCCATCAATATTATGCAATCCTATTGTTTTCTTAGATGTCTCCCTGTCAAATGGTAACATATTGATTTTCTGCTATTTTGTCATATACCTCATATGCATTGTCTATGAGCATCTTCATCATTGATTAATCTGCTGAAGCATAAAAAATGTTACGGTATTCAAGATCAAGTCTGAATAGAAAAGGTAGACTTGGACCTGTCTGAGAATGTCTAAATTGGGACGTTTTCTAAAATAATGCTTGATTCTTTTTCATAGCTTTGAATAGTTCTTGAGATCCCTTTGTTTGAAAGCATATATTTCGTCTCTGATGATATGAACACGAGAAAATGGGAAGAAATTTTTTGCAAATTTCTGCACATATTATTCCAAGAAACAATGATCCTCGGGTGATATACAATGGTTGGTTGCACTGGAGCTAGAACGAAATATCATAATTCCCTACTAATGTTTTGCCATCGTCAGCAGCGATTGCTCTTGGTGGAGCTAGCTATACTGACAGAACTGGTTGTAACTGATGTTGGTATTAATTTTCATTTGTTGCCATCTCTGTTTTCCTTTCTTTCTCAAATCTCTGTTCCCTTCTTTGCCTGAAGGTCATTTCGATTTTGGGATCCAACTGTAGAAGCTCGATTTCGACAGGTGAATTGGGTTCATGAATCTAAGAAATAGTGAGAATTCTTGATTTCTCTTGTATTCACACACATGATTATCAATATGATTACATGTACCAAATATGTTATTCCTAACATCTATTGTTCACTTATTAATGTTACAAAATTCTAACTTATTGTGAACATTCCAAAATTATAAGAAGTAACTAATCACCTAATTGGTGGTCAATCAATCAAGTAATGCAGCAAAACATGCAAGATTAATCAAGAAAATGCATAAAAATACTACACTATTATTTTTTGAATTAAAAACAAGAAAACATAAGTTTCATTTTTATCCAACACACACACACACACACACACACACATATATATATATATATATATA